GGCTGTTTGAGGAAGCTCCCATTTATTAACATTTCAACAAACAAGTTGCATATTTGCATAACGTATTCAAGTGTTACCATTTAGTGCAATAGTAGCTACAGAACATGTACTGTGCTGTGTAAACTGTACTGTATCACATAGCGTTTCAGACACACAAACTTTTCAACTTTCAAACTTAAACGGTGCGCTCCCAGCGCACGTACCGGCAGTGATCTACAGCAGCGGTTTTCAACCAGTGGTACGGGGACAAACTGTCTCGCTCTCGTAATGTCTGTCTGTCTTGCTCTCGTTCTGTCTCTCGTACCACTCTCGGTTCCACTTTTACTTTTGCGCGCTACCTGTCTCATTCTTTTCCGGCCTCCAGCTTTTCCTGCTGGAGCCCGCCGCTTACAGGTGGGGGGCGCGGATCGGCCATAGAGCCCATAGAGTTAAAGGTGGTGGACTGTAACCTGTAAAATCCATAGATTTAGGAGGTCCCCTAGTGGCCGTTAGCTGTAAAAATCCATAGATTAGCCGCACCGTTATATAAGCCGCAGCGTCGAAAAATGTGAAAAAAGGCGCGGCTTATAGTCCGAAAATTACGGTAGATATAAATGATTGCTGCGTGTGAGGAACAGTATTGGAAAGGTTAAACATATCTTTGTCAACTTAAGTCAATCAGATGTTATATGATAATGTATTGTTCTCATTTAAAAGGCTGATGATATTGAAAGTGTTATGCACATTTAAAGTATGTATATGAGAGGTTATCTGTGTATTCTTTAAAAAAGTTAGCATCTGCAAGCTGAAGGATCTTTATCGGAATGGAGATAGATGGAGAACCAAAACAGATGGAAGGCAGGATGTGGAAGCGGAGTAAGGAAAGAAGATATTTTTACCTATGCAGAGAGGAGGTGGGTAGTTCCATCGCCTGACAGTTCCCGGCATACAGGTGATATGCGAGTTTCCCTGCAAGAAGCATCCATGCACACACACAAAGAGAGAAGAGCGACAAAGAACAAGCGATTAATTAATTTCCCCCTCCTCTGTCACTCATCTGTTGCTCCAATTACTTGAACCTGCCTGCTGTCTCCACATGACTTCATGCGGCGACATAATGACTAAATCCATCTGCAGTGACAGAACAATGGAGAGGGAGCGTCTCAGGTACATTAAGATGATCACGGTTGTTGTTCCACTGCCACAAATAAGGCATATAAACAGTCTATGTAAGCTCTGCAGCTGAGATTCAATACTGACTTTGCATTAAGATGGAACATTTGATAATGTCAAAACAGTCTGTTGTTGGACCGTAATGGGCTGACTCAGCTGACCTTTTTCTTTTGAGCACCAGGACAACATGCTGGTTAGGGCTACTGAACTGTTATAATGTGCTCTTTCACATGTCTCACTGATTAAGGACTGATAGTTCCAGGCGTGATAATGACTTCAGATATTTTCATGCTTGAGGCCAGGGTTATATTTATGTTTCCTCTTTACCCTATCTAGCTAGAGTTTGCCTGGGGCCTGAGTTTCGGTCAGATTTTTAAATCGTATCATTTTTTTATAAATAGGAAACCACAACGCAATTCTGCATACACGAATATGTAAGATATCTGTGATTTTACAGTATCAGTAAAGTAACTCGGTGTTCAAATTGGATTTTAACATATCGAATAACTCTATCTAATAATTATCTAATAATAACTATCTAATCTAATAACTAATCTAATCTAATCTAATAACTCTATCGAATTGTCACATTGACCCGAAGACACATTTTGAGTTGTATACACTGTTGGAAAGAGGAGATTCCTAGCTTTCTAATGATATCAGGATTGTTTTTACGCTCCAAATATTAAGCAGAATATGTCACATTATATAATGACTGTCACCGAGTCATCATTTGGAGAAAAAGGCCTTCAAAGTTTCCTCTTCTCTGGAATCCATCGATCTGATTGATTATTAGCGGAGCAAATGATCGAAGGAGAACGGAGGGAAAATATTTTCGTTTGGATTACTGGTCTGGGGGAAGCTCGCGAGTGTGTGTGTGTGTGTGTGTGTGTGTGTGTGTGTTTGTATATTTTTGCGTTTGCGTGTATTGTGTTTGTTTCCCGGGGAAAACCCTCACGAGAAACACCGGCTGTTGTTACGCCTGCTGTGACGTCACGTTACTCCGTTCTCTGCTTGTAATTATGCCGTCACAAGCTTCAAAGCTGAATTTGCCGAAACAAGTTTAATATTCTGAAAGCCAAGACTTTGTTTATTTGAAATCAGATGAAAACAAACTGTAACGGACCCTGCCGTGTGATCTATGATTACTCTACGCTTACATTCATAATGTCAGCGGAGGGAGGGGGGGCGGCGCTACGGAAGAGCCCAGTGCAAGTGAGAGCTGTCGTCTTCCCTTCACAAGCTTCACACATGTATTCATCGTGTGATTTTGGAAATAAAAGTTTCATATTCTGAAAGCCAAGACTTTGTTTATTTAAAATCAAAACACCCGCACCCCAAAAAATAAAACACGCAAATCCACGTTTATTTTGAAATGAGCCGTTGCTGATTCCGATTGATTTCGATAGAGCGGGTCATAAATATTCTTACCGTCAAAACTAATACTAGCAACTTTGGTATATCTGCTCTCTCCAGCCTTCAGTGTGACTGCTTTGAACTCTACCGTCACCGCTTCGTTTGATGGCGTCGTCCGAACACTCTGTGAAGCGTAAAGAAAGGAGGAGAAAGTCAGAGGAGAGTTGAGATGACAGGAATTGAAATGATAATATAAGGGATACCTACTGTGATTGGAACGTCTTTTGTTCCTGAATTTAAAAGGTGTAAATTCAGCAGTTTTGGACGATCTGTAACGAGAACGAAGAAGTGAGCCAAGATGCAACGAAACGTATTAATACATTTGATTTGTATAGCCCTTTTCCAAGTACAAGCATACATATAAACGGACATACAGAAACTAAAATAAAAAGCACAGACACACATGCAAGATGCAATAAAATCACTTACAGAAAAAACAAACTATAGAACAGAAAGCAGTAAGAAGTTATACGAAGGGCTTTTAAGGGCTTCTTTAAATAAGAGAAGATTAATCTGCAATATGATCTGTTTTTCAAGACTTCATACCTTGTGACCGCAGCGTACCAAAGTCAAGCATTTCTGTGGAGGAGTATATACCAGGGGCTGCAAAAGAAGTACCAAAATCATAAGAAAAATGTGTTCCTGACACAAAAAGGACACTGAGTTTTACAATAAATGTACTTTTGGTGACAGCGCTGGGCCATAAAAACACTATCATCAAGAATATTCCAAAGTAAAACTCAATTTTGATATTATGGTGGAATAGAGCGCCACAGTGACGCGTCCTAAAACCAGGAAGTAAGTTCGCATTTGACCACTTCTGGTTCCTTCGCCAAAAAGCAATGCAAGTTCTCCATAGGGTTTAGGAGAATAGCTGAACTAAGGCCTGTGGTTGAAACACGTTGAAGAGAGGGATCACGTTTTGTTCTAGGACATTAAATCCATCAGCAGTGACCCCACTGCTGATCTCTGAAGAGTTTACGAGTCTGAAAAACGATGGTTGTTACCAGTGGCTGAATAGGACTACATAAAATCAATTTCAAGGACCGCCTACTTCTATCTACGTAACATTGCAAAAATCAGGCATATCTTGCCTCAAAACGATGCAGAGAAACTAGTCCATTCATTTGTTACTTCAAGGCTGGATTATTGTAACTCCTTATTATCAGGGTGTACCAATAAGTTACAAACAAACAAACAAACGCTTCAACTTGTACGATTTTGAATCTGTAGTTTTGAATATGGATCTTAAGTTGGCGTTACGTTGAAAGAGCGACCCTGCTGTAGTTCCTTTATAGCATAACGTTAGCATTTTGCTTCTGGCGACTAGATTTACGATTAGAAAATTATAAAAGTAGGGTAGACATGTGGAGATTATCCGGCTGAACAAAACGTGATCCGTCTCTTTAATGTGTGTCAACAGACCTTATTTCCAGCTATTTTCCAAAATCCTATGGAGAAATTGCATTGCTTTTTTGTCGAGGGAACCGGAAGGTACCCATGCGCAGATTACTTCCGGGTTTTAGGACGCGCCACTGCACCTCTCTATTAGAAAGGAAAACCTCTGGCCTTCTTTCACTAATGCTATAACTTACCAAGTCTTCAGTTAAAAACATCATGTGAGATATCGCCATCAGTCTAAATGTTACAAATAGCTTATTTCTGATTATAAATAATTATTAAATGGTTATCGACATGAATTAAGTTATTGGTTACATCTTATAACCTTTGTTTTATTAAAAATATACCTCTTATACAATTAAAAATGCCTGTAAATGGGACCTTATGAGCGAATACAAATGTGACGTTCGGTTTGGGAAGCGCTCGCTTGTTATTTCCAACAGTGATTTATTTCTGCTTATGGGAAAAACAGCAGGGGTGACAGTAATGTTATTCTAGACAGTATTTAAAAACACAAAATACAGTTTGAGCTAATTTTCTTGCAGCGGATCAAGTAAAATCATTGATTTTCTGGATGACGTTTTACAAACTGTACACATTGACTTATTAAGAGATTAAAAGAGCTGTTCTTATTTTATGTTTGTTAGTCTCAATCCTCTCCTTCATGCATTTGCGATAATTAAATAGCTACGGCCAACATCACAAACAGGCTTGAACTTAATAATAATACTTTTGATTTAAATAGCGCTTTTCCTGGTGCTCAAAGCTCTTAAATATTAATATTGATGATAGCTGAAGCCAGACAGTAAGACAACAGGAACACGTGCTTGCACATTTGACTTTTATTCTCCTGTAAATTATTTTCCCAGCCCAATAAACACTCATCTCCATCCAATAAGCACTTGCTGTCTGAGTGTAAACAAGCTTTCCGCCTAGCGTCCCGTTGAAGTTGATTGAGATATTTCCATGCTGATGACCTCATACTTGACCTCAGTACATACCACATACGTCATTTTCTCCGTCTCCTCTTTAGACAGGATTTCCACTTCGATGTCTGTGCTGTAGAATTGCCGTCCCACTTGAGACAGCTGTCCTGCAGGAGACAATCAAACACACACAGGTCATACTGTAGATGAGTGGAGGTCAACTTGTAGGACATTCAGGCTTCATCGCAATAACACTTGAGAGTAATCGAAAGGCCCTGTTAGGTGTTTTTGTATCCGTGGCCTGAATGGATTGACCTTGCCTGCTAACATTGGGACAGATCATTTATTTTACTTTCTAACACAGTATACCATAATCTATGACCAAAAAGCATAAATACTGGTCTGTGTCTAATCCTATTCACACTGTTAATATTTTATTTTAATTTTTTCGGTTGTTTTGTACAAAAAATATTTGTTTAAAGTGCATCTATCATGCTATTGTTAGGCATTTTATGGGTCTCAGATATATAAAAATATATAAAAACATATGATGTGTTTTGCTCAAAATACAGACAGTTAAACCATGCATCACCTGCTAGCTAATATGGACTAGTGAGTTATGTATGTGTGATAAAGAGAGGGTCTGTTAGTGTGTTAATTTTAGGCAGACTTTTGTATGTAAGTTTGAAAATGTGTACAAATGTTTAGAAAGAGACGTCACTTATTAGACTGTGACGAGTGTATGCAGCCACATTGTAGTGAAGTGTGTGTGGGTGTGTGTGTGTGTATAATATATATATACATTTATATGCTTCTCTTGCACTTTTGGTTGCATTTCGTTGTCCCGGTATTTCTACAATGACGATAAAGTGATATTTAATATAATATAATTAGGCTCATCACTTTCAGTTTTAAAGGTCAAACTGTTAGCTACATAAACCTATTAACTGTTGTGTCATTGGTTCTCTTGGTCCAATACTGTTTGATAACTTTAATTAAAACAAATATGATCATCTCATAAGGCTATTTCAAAGAGTACACTCCAGTGCTCTCAATGTCTTTTCTAACCTTCTCACTGGTTTCAGTTCAGTTCTCTGCATTATGAAAATTAATGTGCATAGACTTAACATATTGTCCACACACGGTGAACTTAATGTTGCTTTAATGTGATCGAGGTTATCTATCTGTAGTATCACAGCTGAAAGTGAAGGTTGGCTTCTCCACAATGCCTTTCAACTAAAAAGAAGACATGGTGTACACTGTTTTGACTTTTGTACTAAAATGGATATATTCCTTTTGGCATCCACGGAAAGATATTGTGTTAAACACCTAAAATACCATGCTTTGTTTTTCAAAAAAGTATAGGCCGTTTTTAAATATGCAAAAAAAGGGCATTAAATAATTTATAATGTGTCGTATCGTATTGATTGGACAAACCAAATAACACTTGAGTAATTGTCAGTAGTTTTTTTTTAATATTTAAAGTGGACCTATCATGCTATATTTGAAACATATATTGTAGGACCATACCTATACAAAACATGTCTGTGAAGTTTTTTTTTCAAAAATACCAAACAGTTCACTTGTAGCCATGCCTCATACTGCTCATACCCCTCTTTTGCAGCCCTGTTAGAGAAACGCGGATCTTGGCTCCTTAGCTTGAAAAAATAGAAAGAAGAGGAGGCGGAGCTAATGCCTGATCAGAATTCTACCGGAGATAAAGTTAAATTCTGCTGTGAGAAAACGCCATCCTGTTCTAAACCACATTAAGGATTATTTCTGAAACAGTATGGAGCTCAAATGCTTTTTCTCTTGCGGGTTTATCAAAAGGTGAGTTCTTTTTTTATTTCCTGCTTTTTAAACACGTGCTCTCCAGTACAGGTTAGCTCTGAGTGTTAGCGAGGCTTGCTAATGTAAACAAAGACGAGATTACGTCCAAAACACGTCAGGCATTGTTTCTGATAGCAACTCTCTGTGGGTCCGCCGCCGCTGCTATTACGTCAGTTCTGATGGAATCTGTATCCGCTCGTTGTAAACCCGTTTTTAAAAGATTTGGGTACGGAGGAAAAGAGAGAGGGTTTTATTTTCTGACGCTGCGTGAGTTCCCCGACACACCGGGGACACATATGTATGTATAAAAGACATTACAAAGTGCATTTTGCGTGATAGGTCCCCTTTAAGCACATTTAGGTTAATGGGATTCGAGCGTGTCCCAGCATGCAATGGGTAGAAACCTAAATAAACACACTGGGAAGATTTGTGATTGATTAATCAATTTCCCTTAGAAAGGTTGCCAACTCGACCTACAGTACGTGGCTGCTTCAATAAGAGCATTACTATATCATAGCAGTTTGATTTTCATTAGCATTTGTCTTTTTCTACATTGTTCCTGAATCCCATTACGTTTTTCCCGGAGGTTAAGGAAGAGTGCTTATGGAAAGATAGGACCTTCACTTGTTTAACCCTAGCCCTAGGTTTTGGCGATTAGTCTTTTTAGTGAAATTAACTTAGAGTACTTAAGTGGCGCCCAGGTTACTGTTGAAAGATGATAGGAGATGAGCTTTAATTATTCTTTTATTATCTCCCTTAACCTAGGTTACACCCGAAAATCCTTTATGAAAGGAAAGGAATATCAACCAGTGTGATTCTCTTGGCACCGCAGTCGTTTTTGAAAGGAGCTTCAATGCTTCCTTTATAATCTCCTTAAACATAGGATACACTGGACTATCCTTTACAAAAGGAAAAGAACAACTATCGTCATGTCGTAATTAAATGGCCGGGTGTAAGTGCAACATTTATCCTCCACATCTTTCCTTAACATGTGGACGTTTTTTTTTAATCGAGGTCAAGAAACAGTGGTTTTGAAAACACAGGCCTTGCTTTGTTTGATTTCTACCCACAACTCTTTGCTCTGCTCTTGTTCTTTGGGTTGGGGGTCAAACCCGGTTTCCTGTGACTGGTAAAGTGTGGTAAACCCTTTATTTATAAAACGGACAAGTCAAATCAAGCAATCTGATTGGTTCTTAGCCGTGATATACTGAGCGTATACCACGGGTAGAATTGTAAGTTACTTTTCACAACAAGTCAGTATCCCTCCGCGTCTGAGAAAAACAGTATACCGTCGGGCCGAACCACGCCCCTTAGCTGTGATATAATGAGCATATACCACGGCCTGTCGTGAGCTATTGCTTAAATATACAGTCTGGGTAAACCGTAGCTCTGGGCCTCGTTACCTTTGACGAACTGGGTGAAACCTTTGCGGGTGCTACGATAGTGCAGCGTGAGGCTCGTCTCGCACTCCTCCTCCACGCAGAAGCTGGGCGGCTGCACTTTGGGGAAGGAGAAGCGAAAGTACTCGTGCAGGTTGTCCAGCTCGTTGATGAAGTCGCGCACATTTCGCCCCAAGACCTAAAAAAGATGGATGATGATATTTAAATTGTAAACTGTGCGGTTTGTTTATTGTGAATTATGTTCCTTGTTAAAGTAGTTTTTCATGTTGTCAGAATACTGGGTATCGAGGATCTATTTTAATGTCTTTCTGATGCTAAGTAGTCATTGGTTTTGTTTCTACACCTCCCAATGATCGCCTTTTACACTAACAAACGGTACAGTAATGTTTTAACACACAATGTACACAATATCTGTTTTCTTTTTGTGTTACTGCCGAGTTTTATTCCATATTTTATTTCTATGCAAACACTGCTATATTTCACTATATTTTTTATTATTTAAAATACTTTTTAATTTGATTATAGCTTTCTTAAAATAGTTCTCTATCTTTGTTTTCTAATGTTTGTTCTACTTATATGTATGCACCACGACACCAAGTCAAATTCCTCGTAGGTGTGAACCTACCTGTTCATAAACCTGATTCTGATTCAATACATTTCCTCTGGATTTTCTATCATTGATTTATTTTTTAATGAATGAACGAGACCTTCGTTGCCCATTACAAACATTCAATTGCAAGTAGACGTGCTTTTTGTACTGCTCAACACATCTAAACAGTTCTTGTCCAGATCCAAGCTTCATGATGTGGCTGCTCGCAAATGACTTATCCATTGATTCAGAAATATTAAACATAACTGTATTCCATGAGGCCATATGAGCTTTGATTTAGTGACTAATGCATCATCAGTCAGTGATGTAGTGTAGACATGAGGACATGCACTTAATGCTGCTGTTAGCTAAAGATAATCTGAAGGGAGGGTTCACTACATCACCTTTAGGATCCGCTCGTATCCGTAGTTTCCGATCCTCTTGACCATATAGACCCCGAAGGCGTACATCAGCTCGTCGTGGGTCTTTCCCAGAACCTCACCTGCCGCCTTGGCCAGCCGCAGGATCAGGTTGTCACTGCATGGTAGAGAGAAAGCTATTAATGTTAGAGGAGGCATGTGGCGCAGTGGATAGAGCCTTGGTGTTTGGATCAGGGGGTCACAGGTTCAAACTCCACTGCAGTCAGCATGTCGTTGTGTCCCTGGGCAAGACACTTCAGCCCAAATTGCTCCGGTGGGGATTGCCCACAGTATTGAATATGTAAATTGCTTTGGATTAAAGCGTCTAACATGTAATGTAATACATGTGGCTTTTAACATATGCTAAGTTAGCTGCTAATGCTACGAGATTTAAAATCAGCTTTCTGGTAGAGCTCTTACAAAGTAAAGTAAGCAACGTTTCATCAAACAAAGACAAGTGCAGGAGTGAGCAGAGTCAAAATGAGAGTACGAATAGTCAAAGTAATACAACATTTACTAATTAATACTTGCTGTATTACTGTGCTAAACTGCATGACACTACAGCTGTTTCTGACATGGTGTCTAACATGTTGAAGGGTATCGTCATAGGCAAGGGTAGTTTTCTTGTAAAGCACATTTCAACACAAGGCAATTCAAAGTGCATTAAGATAACGTTTAAATAAATGGGAAGACAGTCATTAAAAAAGGAAGAAAATACAATTAAAACAAAGTTAAATAGCATAAGACCGATGTACGAGTAGAGAGGTTACTCTCTTCTCTCTATTGTCCTTGACTTCCAGCTAGCTTTTTGTGTGCTTATTGTGCATTTTTGATGGGTGTGTAATGTATGTGAGTAGTGTGTAATGTTTGACAGTTGTTCTTTAAAAAATGTAATACAACATTTCAGATTACTCTCAAAATGAAGAAGATATGAAGAGTTATTTGATTTGATTAAAAAGGCAGTAGTTCATATTTCCCCTCGACATTTGTTAGCATTTGAGCTGCACATAAGCTTAGGCCCCTAAATACAGAATATCTAACCAAAGAATAAATGTCATTATTGTGACTGGCAGCCGAGTTTTAGCATTTATTCAAGTCTTAAAATGCTTCACTTGAATTGTGCAAAAGTCCGGTTGCTGTGGTAGGCTATTATATAAGATTCACTTGTGAATATTTGGCCTCAAAATCCGCAGTTTTTGCTATTCAAGCACTTAAAACCTCAACTCAAGCACCACAGTGTAACGGGGAAACATGATTTACGTACTTGTACATCTGATGTCGGACGAACTTAAGGTGGGGTATCTCTGCTCGGTTCTCGATGAGCCTCCACACGTCCTCTCCGTAGGATTCATTAATATAATCGTTGACGGCTTCCAGGTACAGGCCGTACATCTTCAGAGGGTTGGAAACCTCCATATCGATGCCTTGGTTAACTGCTCAGCTGGGGAAGAAATTACACATCCCGAATACTGGCTGGACACATCTTTGTTAGGTTCAGCAATTTTAAATATCACAGCTAAAGAAAAAATCTATTAGAATCCAGTTTCCCTCAAGAGGACAGACCTTTGGCACCGTCTTCTTAGGAGATTAAAGGGAGACATTTTGCTTGGCGTGTAAAGACTTTCTTTCAATGCCAAAGAAAGTAAAACTCTTTCTATCCAGCAGCATACGTAAGTAAAGATGGAAATATGCTGTATACCTGTGTGACACTTCAGGTCACCTTCTCAGACACCAGCAACATGTAAAAAGAGAGCAAGATTATCAAAAAGTAAATTAGCTGTGACTGTGCTGTGCTTGATGCAGCTGCTTTCTATACAATGTCACCAACGTGGCAAACGCAAACCGGTAAACAAACAAAAAAAGGGAAATCCAGAAGCCTTTGATGCTCAGGTTCAGGTTCTTTATTTGTACCCGTAGGTAGATTTAGTTTGCAGATCAAAAGACAAGGGATCCATCCTGACACACTCTAAAAACAAACACAGACAACTGACACATCTCTAATAAAAGTACGACCTGCTCCGTCAAATCTCAAAATATTAAAAAACATTTTAAAAGAAAAACACTAGTACAACCATGGACATTCAAAATTCATAATTAAATAGATAATTAGGCATCTGCGTGACGCTCCTATGATTTGTTAATTTGTGCAATAGCTGCTTGGATAAAACAGTTTCTATACCGCTTCGTTCAACTAACTTCCGGCACAAAGGAAGAAGCTTAAATCCTGAGTCCATCCTATCATTTAATTAAAGTTTAACCCTTTAAAAACAGATGCAAAAGTAAAAAGAGAAGTCCCCTTACTGCAGTCCCTCAGGTCTGTGAAATCCTGATCTCCCGAATGAGCCGAACATCTCCAAAGTATCGCTCCTAGTTGAGAGTTTCCACCTGCAGCTGACATGTCTATTCCCCCCCGA